GTGGTTTCGCCGACGTTGAAAGACAAGGCGGCGCTGCGAAAGGCTCGTGAGACCGAACGTAAGCGGGCGAAGCGTGCCGCGGATGCCAAACTGCGCGCTCGCGAGGCCGAGGACAAGCGGGCGAAGCGTGCAGAGGATGCCGAACTTCGCGCTCGCGAGGCCGAGGACAAGCGGGCGAGGCGTGCAGCGGATGGTGAACTGCGCGCTCGCGAGGCCGAGATGAGGCGTCAGCATCGAGCCGCGAACGCGGCCCAAGAAGCGGAACGACAACGCAAGCGTCAGGCGGAGAAGGGCGATGTAGGCCAGCGTCAAGACGCCGCTCGCAATCGTCAACGGCGAGTGGACGTTCCCGAAGCCGTTCGAGCCAGTGAACGTGCCGCGCGGGAGAGGGTGCGAGCCCTGGACTTTGCTCGTCCGGGGCTCGCATGCTATGAGGGGGAGTAAAGTTAAAATCCGTTGGCATTCGCCAGTGAGTTAACGTAAACTCCCCCGTGTGATCAAATTGCGATTCCCAGGAACCAGTACACCATAAAGGCACTATAGTGTGATTAATAAATACAATAGTGCGCATTAATAAATACCCCTCATAGCATCACCCCGTGCATTCGCACTTAACCATGTTCACCCTCGGGGAAATGCTTGGGAGTTTTTTCTCCATGCATTGATCAAACTGCCGCTTCGGACCCTTATTAAGCGCTTATTTTATAAAAAAAGGCATTTTCCAGTGATGCCGTATAAACACCATTTTTTTCTAATGAGGCAGAATTTCACCCACGTGCTCTCGGTCTCAAGGCGGGCGATCTAACCACTGCTCTCTAGACTTTTTGTTTGTATTTCGCTTTATTTATTCAACGTAAACATGGTCGTACTTCAACACAGACAGAGAACTGACATGTTCATTCTTGTATAACGGCTTAATGAGGCTCCCACAACCCTGAATAATTCACGACCTCTAGAACGAATACATCCTAGGTAACCGCCTTCTTTCCAATCACTGTCTATGACAGTTTTATAGGGATGAACACCTCACCAACGCAATGTACCATTCAGGCTGAAGCGCATGTCCTAGTATACATCGCCTAGTTGAGTTATCACTCGAATGAAGTTGGCTGCTGAGGAAATTAGTTGCTCGAGCGTTCCTCTGCAACATGCGCGACCTCTACATGGTATGCATTCTAACGAGCAGAGGCATGTCGAATGGTGCTTCACTGTAACTCACTAGCAACAGATATCACGCAAAATTCAGCTCAAAGTCTTTTTCAGGAGTTCATTGAAGAACACCCTAACTTGAGATTGCATGTCTGCAGCTTATAAAACATTGTTCTGTTGCTTCAGGCGCATCAGAAAGCGTGCACTCGACATAAGACACGAAAATGTCTCTTGAACGAATCCGATTCTTCCCTGGACGACAGAGTTGTAAAGTGCACTCGGCTATCCAGGCACGCTTGTACAGCATAGCGTAGCTTTGTATGACCTAGAATAGCTTTGTATGGCCTACAGTAACCTTGTATAGCCAATCATAGCCTTGTACTGTAGAGTGTAGCAAGGGCGCGGGGAAGGGAATTGAGCGTGAGGAGGTAAGATCTGATGGTGAATAGGAGAGGTGGGAAAGAAAGAAGGGAGTGAGTAAAGGCGTGGCAGAAAAAGAATGGAACATATAGATAATAATAATAATAATAATAATAATAATAATAATAATTTCATTTACACCACGCACATGCACGATAAAGGGTTTCGGAAATATTTTTCAGCATGACAGCTTGACAAGGCCGAATTTCCTCGCATTGGATACATCGCACAATGGTCAGCAAATCTTTAAAAAATGAAATAACAAGAAGGCTTACACGAATCGAATGTTTTGCATGAAAACGATAAGACGGACTTTGAAACTTTACGCCCAAGTGCTAGAGTATCTAGACCCGCAAACTGATTACGTTAAAACTTATAATAATAATAATAATAATAATAATAATAATAATAATAATAATAATATATAATAATAATAAAATAATAATAATAATATAATAATAATAATAATAATAATAATAATAATAATAATAATAATAATATATAATAATAATAATAATAATAACAACATTTACACCACGCATATGCACGATAAAGGGTTTCGGAAATATTTTTCAGCATGGCAGCTTGACAAGGCCGAATTTCCTCGCATTGGATACATCGCACAATGGTCAGCAAATCTTTAAAAAATGAAATAACAAAGACACTTACATGAATTAAATGTTTGCATAAAAACGATAAGACGGGCATTCAAATTTTACGGCCAAGTGCTAGAGTATCCAGACCCGCAAACTGATTATGTTAAAACTTGGAATAATAATAATAATATAATAATAATAATAATAATAATAATAATAATAATAATAATAATAATAATAATAAATTCACATGCATTGAATGACAAAGGCCTCTCCAAAGAATCTCCAATTTCATGCCACTCTGTAAAATTCTCAATAAAATAAAATACGATGTCCTTTAAAATGTCACCTTGAAACTGCTTCAAAAATGCATAATTTAACTTCGACGCAGACGGAGTCGACTTGCGCAAAAAATAGATGCATTTGAACAGTGTCTGTTCACTCTCGGTATTTCGCTTCCGTAAACTCTGTCCTTGAGTCATTTGTCTTCATTGTAGTCTGGGCAGCGGGGCTGTGCAACAATGCTGTACCTGCTGATTCACTGTTGTTTATCTACTGTTACCGTTGCTAAGCCGCCTGCTTGTACGACAACGTCATCTCGAATGACATGACCTCCCCTCATGCTTTTGTTTAGCTTTACAGAATCTTGAAAATAATCCCGAGCGTGAATTTTTAGGTGCAGAGTACTTTGGTGAGCCAGTTGTCGTATTCTGACGTATGGTGTCGTATGCTGTGAATGCATGCGGTTACCGTCGCTTAACGTAACGCAGGCAAAAAAAAAAAAAAACTGCGTGCAGCGTAGCAAGCTGTAGCATATGAAGCACGCGCACGAGCCAAAGAGTACTTGTCTTCCTTTCGTTCTTTGAGTGCCTTGACGATGACATCAAGTGCATACATTAGCACGGTGGCTAGGGAAACACTACAACAGAAAACACGAATAAAAATTGAAAAAAAAGGAAGCAAGCGGTAAATGGAAAGGAAGGGAGAGAAAAAAAATGGGAAGAAAATTAAGAGAAACGGAAATAAAAAAAACAGGATAACAGAAAAACTGGAAAAGAGAAAAAGAATAAAATAAGAGTGGCCACGTATCTGCGTGTACTCCTATGTTCATCCTACAGTTAAGTTAGCTGTGGCTTAGCTCGGCTATGCCAGGATATGCGCATTGTGAACTATGGACGGACACATACAGAGAGACGGACGGGCGGACGCATGGACGGATGGAGGGGGGATGCACGAACGGACGCACGGACGAACTAGTGAGCGAACTTCAGGCGAGTCGATTGGCGCTAGCCTTTTCGTGGCATGTCACAACAGCAGCTACCAGGCCTTCTCCGGTGCGCCAGTTCTGCGCCACGTGACGTCACCGCTCCTGGAGCATGCACAGCATGGCTCTCGACAAGCCATGCTCAACCTCGGCCAGTGTAGCTGACGCTACAGTATTTCTTGAAGGCTTCAGTCGCTATTGTATGCTAGCCAACTTCGGCTTCCTCGATTGTGGTGTGTTTCGCTGGCTAAATGTAACGTAATGCTACTTTGCTGAAATATGGGAATGTATGTTTCTAAGTAAAAGCTGGGAGGACTCTGATAAAATGGCTGCCTTAATATCCGAAAAATGTTTAGATAGCATTCGATATACATTCTGTATTGATTTGTTATGATCCTGTTCGGTTCGTGTTTGATTTTTTCTTCTAAATTTAACGGTCGGCGCAACCATAGCAAGTTGTCCCTATGCATTGTTCCTATGCAGTGTTCCTATACACTGTTCCTATGCACAAGTTGTTTCTACGCACTGAACTAAGCTTAGTGATTGTGGATGTTAGCTGCAAACTCGGGACATCAAACAGCCCTACATATTTGCATTTAATCTGAGTCGAACAGTACGACCCTGCTCAATGGCATCTCGTTTGTCATACTTGGCACAATTGAAATTATAAGAAATATGAAGCTTTACTGTATTTACTAATGCAATAAATTATTAAGGCTTGCAATTTAGTTATACAATAAATTACTTCCAGCTTAAATTTCAAGAAAATTAATAATGTTCTCCTAACTGATTTTAACTGAATATGGCATGTCCGCTTCTTTTGCAGAATAAAAAAGTCGACCAAAAATGTAACCAAGATGGCAAGGATATACTAATCTGAATACCTTCATTTGATTGGAGAAAGGATCTCTGATATTGTTTTAACGCTTGTGCCCTGTAAAGAAGGTGTACATGAGTTAGTACACGAATTAAGTTTTGGCAAGATATTTTGATTACTTTTCAAAAATAGTTGTTATACATTGTCATTACTTTTCGCTGACTGCAATTTGTTATGTAAGCTTGTTAGAAGCAATTTCGCTATCTCCGTTTCTTGTGGCACGTACAACGCGTTTTTATAATTGTTACGATAAGCTGGCAATCGTTTGTGACAGAAAAGAAGTTCGAAGAAAGAAGAACGCTGTGTTTATTTCAAACTAAGAGGGGCAACGTCCACCCTGTGGGTCATTGTCCTGCTTGCCAGGCCAAGGAAGTTTTGGCCGCACAATTTGTTTTTGAACTAGAGCATTGGCATCTAGTACAGACTGAACGTAACGAAGGTTCCTACTGTGCTTGTTTTCCTTCGATCAGCTGTAAGAAAGAAAAAAAAAATACTACGCCTGGCGTCGGGAACGATTCGGTGACGTCAGGAGACCGGCGCTGACCTTAACCCCGTGCCGCGAGAGACGTTGTAGACGAAGTACGCGAAAGAGCAAAAAAGAAATGAAAGAAGAGGCGGATAGCGTTCCGGTTTCCGGGTGATAATATATAAAGACATAAGAAGCGCCATGCCCTCGGCTCCTCCGAGCGACGTAGTGGCAGTGCTGTATATCGCGAGCTCCACAGCGTCGAAGCGCCACGCCCCACAAGCAGCGCCCGTTTTTTCCCGATGAAACAAGCAGCAAGCGACACACCCGCAAGGCTACAATTACGCCGTCGCCGACATTCAAAAGCGTGCGGAAGAAACCGAATGACGCCCCAAGCGCGCGCTCGCAAGCTGCAGGGCGCCTTGCATCATCCGCAAATGTGGTGGGTCACGTGGCAGCCAACGAGCGCCGCCATTGGACCATAGCTCGGCACCGCAGCGCCCCTGCACCGGTTTTGCCTCTCATCTTCTTCCTCCTTGCAAGCGCGTCGTCTGCTCTCGATGGCCGCCCCGGCGTCTGCTCCGGTTTACCTATTCGCCGGTAGTTTAATGCACGCTTATTAGGAACCCTGAATATTTACAGAAAATTTTGTCAACCGTGACACGTCAAATCGACGACACCCAAGCTCCTACCCCTGCGTCAGCAAGGCAGCATTCGCAGCAAGGACTTGAACTGCTGCTGCTTTTTGGAACGAGAGTCAAGATGGGCTCGTCGTCTGGTATCTGGGTGTTCGGCTACGGATCTCTCGTCTGGAACCCCGGGTTCGAGTTTGTGCGAAGTCAGATCGGCTACATTCGCGGCTACGACCGCAGGTTTTGGCAAGGCAACGACAAGCACCGCGGAACGCCGGAGAAGGTGAGATGTCGGCCAATTTTCTTCTGCTTCGTCTCCCTTGACGCCGGCGAGCGCCGCTCACTTGGCGCGAAACATCTGTTGCAGACGATAACTCGCGGTGAGCTAGCAGACGATCTTCGCACCCCTGAACAGATGTGCATTACACGTCGCTAGTGATGGCTCCGCTAAGCGTAACTGTACAACGTGGCCGTTGCATAAAATGTTTTTTTTTTTTTTTTTCAGCGGCGCCACGAACTGAAACTAAAGAGGTGGTTCTCAACTCATCCAGGCAGGTTGTGTTTGTTCTTGTTTCGCAAAGGGAAGCAGGATTATTTCGCATATCAGCTGCGAGGTTGTTATGTAGTTTGAAAACGCAAAAGACGGCCGAATAGACGAAACATCTGCGTTAGGTTTTTCTATTTTTTTTTACGCTAGTGAGGACGCATCGCCAGTTGTCTATGCAATTTCAAGATGTTGCTGAAGGTCACTTTTGTTGCGAGACAACGTTACCATGCTTCGGAATGACAGCTGGTCTGCTGCTTTATCGTTTCGAAATGCATATTGTTGAAGGTTTCCAGGAGACGAAAATGTTTGCCAAGAGTTTTTGCTTCATGTTTTTTTTTTTTATTTTGTGCGAAAAGTTAGGTCCTCTGCCAATTGTTAACTAAAGGCTTTGATAGCTTCCTTTTACTTTCTAAGAAATGCGTAAACTTCATCTTGTGTTTCTTCGCATAATAAAAAACAAAGCGGAAGATAATGTGCTTCTAGTTCACTGTATGAGTCAATGAATTCGGAGAAATCCTATCTCTCTTCCTAATATACTGCTACAGCTGGCCTTACCTATATTGTTTAGGGTCGTCTATCATCTAAGAGCGCGTGCAAGGCTGTGTGTGTGTGTGTGTGTGTGTGTGTGTGTGTGTGTGTGTGTGTGTGTGTGTGTGTGTGTGTGTGTGTGTGTGTGTGTGTGTGTGTGTGTGTGTGTGTGTGTGTGTGTGTGTGTGTGTGTGTGTGTGTGTGTGTGTTTTGTTGCCCGGAAAGACGATATCATACGCGAAAACGAAGTTTGGGCAAAGCCTTTTTCCCAACACCGAATGCACGGTCACTTTGGCGACCGGTTATAGAGTTAGAATTGTCTTTTTTTTTAACGCTTCACGCTAACGTTAGTATTGTTAAAACGTTTCTGTATGGCGTGCATTCGTGACTCATCGCGGCTTCTTCCAGCATTGTGTGATCGAAATTGATCATGCACATTTTCAGTGTAATGCCTGTAAACATTTCATAGAAGGGCAAGGCCAATATCGCGGTGCATCATTCAGGAGAGCCAACGCAAAAGTTTACTGTTCTCATGCTTATGCCTCTGGGACATTGGTAGCCTTATGTTTCATATTGTAAAGCAGCCATCAACATCATCATCATAATCACCATCATCATCATCATAAGCCTGACTACGCCCTCTGCAGGGCAAAGGCCTCGCCCATGGTCCGCCAATAAACCCGGTCTCGTGCTTCCCATTGCCACGTTATACCTGCGAATTTTCTAATGCTCTCGGCCAACCTAACTTTCTGTATACCCTTTCGTGCGTTTGCCTTACTCTGGGAATCCAGTCAGGTTACCCTCAATGACCGAGCGGTTATCCTACCTACGTTCTACTGCGCCAGGCCCATGTCCATTTCTTCTTCTTGATTCAGCTATGATATCCTTAACCCAGGATTGTTTACTGACCCGCTCTGCTCACTTCTTGTCTCTTAAGGAATCTGAACTTCGCTATCGTCAACGCCAGAACGCTATCTATATATAGCGAGGCTAGTCTAGCTGTCCTATTCGAGGAATCAGAGTGTGTTCAATGGGGTGTAATATGGCTCAGCGAAGTTAGGAGGTCACTTGAGGCTTAGACAGCGCTGAAAACGGACACGTCCTATGCTACCGTGGATTGGTTGACAAAAAAGAACTAGGGGCGGGGTTTCTTATACACAAGAGTATCACTAGTACACGGAGAGATACTATAGCACCGTTTAGAGGGTGGCAAGTACCATAATTAGGTTTAACAAAAAGTACAAGGTAAGGTGGTCCAGGCTTACGCGCCTACATCGAGCCATGATGATCATTTGGTTGAACGCTTCTATGAAGACGTAGAGGCAGCCAGTAATGAAGCAAAGTCACAGTAGGCTATTCTGATGGGTGACATTAGTTCAAAAGTAGGTATAGGAAACAGGCCGGAGACTGTGCAGTGAGAATATGGCATGGGCTCTAGAAATGCCAGAGGGAAGTTATTATAGGAGTTCGCAGAACTTAATAATTTACGGATCTTGAATACGTTCTTCAGAAAATGGGCTAACCGTTAGTGGACGTGGTGAAGTCCCAATGGCGAAAGTGAAAATGATATAGACTTCATTTTGTGGCCACACCCAGGCATTGTACATGATGTAGAAGTCGTTGGCGAAATACTATGCAGTGACCACAGAATGGTAAGAGCTCGTAGTCACCTAGATTTAAAAAAAGCGAAGACAAAAACTGATACGCAAAAATCAATTAATGAACTAGCGGGGAGAGTGACAGGACAGGAAATCAGAGTTCCGCTTCAGAATAGATTCGAGGCACTGAACGAAGTGACCGACGTTAGCGTTCATACAATGAACGATAATATTACTAGTATCATCGAATATTGTGCAATGGAAGTCGGGGGTACAGTCAGTAGACAGGGCAAGTGGGAAAGTATCTCATGAGAAGAAAATTCTTAATAAGAGACGACAAACAATGAAAGCCTGAAATGCAACAGAAAAAATTATACTAGTGAAGCTTTTCAAGTTTTACTCAATGGACGTAAGGTAGCCCACGCCAGAAGGTATAACATGGAGAGAATTGAGCAGGCTGTAAAAAGCGGCAGAAGCCTAAAAGCTGCAAAAGCAAACTTGTGCATAGGCAAAAATGGAATGAATTCATCAAAAAACAAGGAAGGTAGCGTCATAAGCAAGATGACTAGTATAGTCGAAGTGCGAAGGAGTTTACAGAGAGCTGTACATAAGCCAAAACAACTAGAATAATATCGTGAGAAACAATAATAATCCAGGGAAATTCGACGTCCTACCAGTAACGACAGCGGATGCATGAAAAGCCCTAGAAGGAATACAAAGATGCAAAGCTGCTGGTGAAGGTAAAGTAACAACGGACCTCCTGAAGGATAGTGGAGAAATTGTGTTAGAAAAACTGGCCATCTTATATACGAAGTGTCTCTTCACGGGAAGGATACCGGAATCTTGGAAGAACTCCAACATCAACTTAATCTCTAAGAAAAAAAATATTTCAAGGATTTGAAAAAATTATAGGTCGTTCAGCTTACTGTCCGTACTCTACAAAATATTTACAAAAATAGTAGCTAATATAATTAGGGCGACACTAGAGTTCTATCAACCAAAGGATCAAGCAGGATTTTGTACAGGCTACTCCTCAATTGACCTTATTCGTACTATCAAGCAGGTAATATAGAAATTCGCTGAATACAACCAACTCTTATACATAGCCTCCGTAGAAGAGGTTTGACTCACTCGAGACATCAAAGTAATGCAGGCACTACGGACAGAGCATCAAGGAACCCTACATAAACTTACTGAAAGAAATCTACAGTGGATCCACAGCCACAATAGTTCTCCATAAAGAAAGCGAAATTATTATTATTATTATTATTATTATTATTATTAGTAGTAGTAGTAGTAGTAGTAGTAGTATTAACTGTGATAAGTATAAGGTGACTGAGTATCAATGTAAACTGGCAGTAGGCGTCTATATGTTGCCGAAGTCTAAGAAAAAAATTACGTCTCCAGGCAACTAATTTACAAAGACATGACTGCGTAGTGTTGGTGGTACTGCTGCGACCAGAAAAGAAATGCTTTCGGTGCAGGAAAGGTTCCTCCTATTGCGAATACGGTAGCCGTTAGCGATCGCTAACAGTTGCTAAGGGAAAAAAAAAAAAAGAAGCTGCTCTGACTCACGTTAAATTACCTCGCCCTCAGTTATTGTTAGTACATGCCTTTTTCAAAGGCCTGACTCACTGACAGTGCTCTTATTCGATCCGACCGTGGACAATAGAGCCACGTGAGAAAGACTGCTCGTTTTGTTTTGAATAGTGAGAATCTGCCCTGCGTTGTAGAGAATGTGAACGTCATTTACTTGAGAATACGAGACATCATTGCATCTATGTGGCTTACTGCAAATTCTAAATAATAAACTTACTAATTATTTAGTTTAGAAAGCCAGTTCGTTTCCCAATGGAGTTTGGCGCTTCCACGTAAAACGCCCGCGTGTGTTTAGCAGAAATTACAGCACTTGCGGCATTCCAAGTACTCATATGTAAAAAACGGCTGAAAAAATGTAAAAAAACGTTGTTCTCATGTTGAGTTATCCAGAGTCCCTGATTGATGCTCTCGAGAAATTCGCTAGCCTGAATGTTATTTTGCACAATTTAAATATTGTTAGCACATGTTTTTTTAAAGTACTTTAAAAAACACGTGCTGTAGCATTCTGATATGATGCGAATGTATGAACATTCATGAATCGTATGTGTTTCATCATCATAAAAGATTTTTGGATATGTCCAATATGTATGACGAGATGTTGAGATGGGACGGTGGCTGAATGTCTATAGTGTTTCTGAATAGGTGGTGCTAACAGCCACAAAAGACGCGCCACAAGCCAACCTTACAATGTTACGAGCTTTCTTGGAAAATGACCGCTTTGCGCCTCTTGTCATTCTGCAAATATCGTGCAAGCGCTACGCGAGCTGCCGTTCTGTTGTTTTTCCCTCGTCCGGCCTTCCACTTGAAGCACTATACAAGCAATGCTAGACACGACCGAAGGAAGTCATCAGAAAGCACGGATAGAACCCGCAGGGCGCGGGTTCGATTCCCGGCTGCGGCGGCTGCATTTCCGATGGAGGCGGAAATGTTGTAGGCCCGTGTACTCAGATTTGGGTGCACGTTAAAGAACCCCAGGTGGTCAAAATTTCCGGAGCCCTCCACTACGGCGTC